TTCGTTCCCCCCCCCCCCTGAACTTTGTTCTGTTAACAAGTTTTCCCCTTCTATTACAATGAGTGACGAAATTGCCATGTGTCACTTATTTAGTGAGAATTGAAAGCGCAATTACACTTATACCCTCCTAATCACATTAGATCCCATGGAATTCTTAATTTTTTTTTTTTAAAAGTCAACAGATCTCGTTGGGGCAAGAAATATGATCAAAATTCCAAACTATAAAGGAACCCAAAATCCATTGATGAAGATGACTCTCAACTCCCAACATAAAGAGAGAAGAAATCCAACGTAATCATCGAAGAAACAACTCTAGCTCTTCACTAATCATACAAACTCTTATATTGTTCAAATCTCTAAAGGTCAACTAATTTGCAATTTTCAAGTGAACACTAAACCTCCTAAACTTTAATTTACCAATTCAACGTCATTCATGAAATGCCCAGAAAAAGCCACAAACCAATAGTCAAAACAGGGATCAAGATTGTTTTTTTTCCCTCCCTATTATCAGGAATAAATTCAAATCAGAAGACTAAAGAAAAATCTCTATTTTATTCTGCCCCTACCACAACTGCAAGCTAAATCATCACTCAAACTCGTAGCCCCGCTAGCCTTAATGCAAAGCTGAAGCTCAGAAAGACGACACAACATCCTCAAGGGCCACTCCGACAGGTCGTCCCTCCCTCGTTCAAATCTGTCGCCCCTCAACTTGGAAGCCCTCGATCCATCGCCCCTCGCTGCAAAAGCCACTCATTGTTGCCAAGGTCGTCGAGCCCATCATCCTTCATCATGATCCGGTGGCCTAGAATCCATGATTTTGGTCTAATGGGGGAGAGCGAAAAAGAATGAAAGGGAAAGTTAAAGAATTAACTTGTTACTTTATTTAATTTAATATGTAATATATTTATTAATAATTCTCTTTTGAAAAAAATTACTTAAACATTTTATCCTCATGTATCAAATGAAAATCCTTTTTTTATTTACGCATTTGAGCTTTTTTAATTCCTTTTTTAATAACCTGTGGTTTTCACATGGTATTTTACGATAACACACTCCTCAAATGGGTCATGTACCTTACACGTGACGAATTCTGTCACTCATTGTAGCAGAAGGGGAAAACTTGTTCTCATTGTAACAAAAGGGGAAAACTTGTTAACAGAACAAAGTTCGGGGGAACGGATGTTACGTTTTAAAATTCTAAGGGCAAAGTGTTATAAGGGTCATAGTTCAGGGGAGATTTTTTAAATTAATCCAATGTTTTTTAATAAATGATTAAAATTTTGCACGATTGTAAACATGACCATTTTCATTAACTTAGCGGTCAATCATTGATTGATGTAGCGCTGATTGACTAAGCGGTCAATCGTGATTGACTCTAGTTTATCATTGATTAACTCAATTATTCTTTATTATTAATCAATATTAGTTAATAATTAATCAAAATCAATTAGTAATTAATCAATTTCAATCAACAAATTACATGTTTATTAATGATAAACCATAGATAAATTAATAATGAATCAGTCAATGATGATTGATCGTGAGTCAATTATTGATTCACTGTGATCCATAGATCAATCAATGATTGTCTCATGCAAACAAAACAACCATTTTTGGAAAATATAAAAAAAAATTTTGATCATTTATGAAAAGAGGTGATTAAAAAGGGTCACCCAACACAATTTGCCTTCTAAATTTTTTATAGTGTTTAAACAAACGCATGGTTTTTTAGGTATACCAACAATAGTGGAGGAACGTTAATTGATTTACACCATATTTTTGTAACAGAGAGAAGTGCGAAGTTTCCAAAAATACTCTTTTCTTAATATGCTGTCGTTTTTAATTAGCTGTCGTTCAGTAAACTAGTGTCTTTTCTAAAAGACGATGTCGTTTCTACTGTGCTAATTTTTTTTAATCTATATCTTTTCTGAAAGTTCTTCGCAAAATAGATTTTGTTTTGTAGACACTGTTTCTTTGTTTTTTTTTTTTTTTAGGTGTATTTGTTGGGTTTTTTTTTTTTTTTTTTTGTTTTGAATGATTTCCGCTTCTTAAGATGTTGTCATCTTTATATTATAGTGTCGTTTTGCACTAGACGGTTTATTAAAGGTGACTCCGTTATGTGCATATTCTGTCGTTTATATCATTCTCGTTTTTCTGGATAACTTCTCTGTTTTGAAGGTTTTCTCGCAAGTCTGTCGCTTCGTCATATTTTCTCTTTCATGTCGTTTTTAAGTACTTTCGTTTTGTTTAATCCATGCCGTTTCTGAGAGAGTTGTTTTGAGTTCGCTTACAACTTCTTGTTTTCATAACATGCTGTCGTTTCATTGTATTCTTGTATTTAGGATTCTGAGATAAATACGCGAAATTAGATATGAAGAAAAAAATAAGTTATTGGCAGTTTATCTTCCAAAACGTTTAGTTATTTTATAAACTATTCTTAAAACTTTTAATTAACAATTACTTAATCCCCTCTATTGCCCTCTATTGTTGATTAATTGCAATGTATCTCACAGTTGATAACGTGGTTTGAAAGAAAAAACTATATTATCAAAATCAAAATTTACCGATTTGCTAATACGAGAGTAAAGATTTTTTTTTTTTTTTTAAATACAAGGACCTAGTACAAGTTGAAGCCTAGTCCAATGTAAGACTGCACAAAACCATAAGCATGTACTTTTTCTCCCTACAATATTGCTAGGCGTTGTCTGTCTTTGTCGTCTGATAAGCCCATGTAACGTAGAGGTAGAGTCCAGTCGTCACTTCAATGATGATGTCGTTTTTAGATCCTTTTGCGCCGTCTTTTTAACATATTGTCGTCTTATGTCGACGTCGTTTCTATCATGTTCTCGTTTCAATTTTTGTGTTTTTCTCAGTACCTGCATTACCAGACAGGCTATCAGTTTTCTACGGCACTTGGCTGATGTCGCTTCTTAGGTATTTCCATTTCTTTTCTAATGGCGGCAATGTTGATTCTAGGTGGTTATTATAGTTTTAACTTCTGAAGTGGACGTTTGGTTTATGAATTCAGAATCATGATTTAGAATTATTCTCGTTTTACGTGTGTTTTTTGTGAGAAAAAATGTTATAACGAGTCACGAATCATGATCCGAATCATGACACGAATTCTCATACCAAATACCTCAGAAGTGATTAATTAAATTCGAATAATTGGTTTATATTAATTTCTCCGGAGGCTTTCTTCCGCCGTTTGTAAAAATCTCTTGAGCAAATAATAGGAGGTAAATTTTTTTTTTTTTAAAAGACAACTCATTAGTCATCACATAGCTATACTAGCCGAAAAGAACTTCCTGGTAAAAATTGTAGCCCGTGAAGCAGAATCCAAAAACATAACACGAAATTTAACGCACTATCAACCCACTTAGTTATCAGTTCAACTTAGTAATTTTGATCTAAATTCAAATTTTATGAAAGAACTTATTAATAGAAACTCATTTTATTTAAATTTTTTGTGAGAAAGCAAAATCAGAACTATATGTTCAAGTTTGATTTACTATACCGTTTCAAAAAATAATTTAGATCATAATCCTTTAGCTTTTTTTCTTCTTTTTCCTTTTCAAGGGGAGGGATTATAACTTTCTTTATTGTTTCAATAAAAAGTTTTAAGTATACAGAGAAAAAAAGAAATAATTTTACATAAGTTTATAGAGAGATAAAGAATTTTACATAAGTTTATATAGACATTTTTCGGTACGTTAATATATCGATAGACTAGGTTTTTTATCTGTCAGATCTGTATAAAATCATGTAAAAGTCAAAAAGTACGCAGATCCAACGATTAGAAAAACTTCATCTACTGATATACCAGGAATACTAGAGAATCTCCCAAATTGATAAAGACAAACATTAGTGCAAAAATGAAAGTGTTTCATTGGAAAAGACGGGACGGGATGGAGGCAAGTACGCTTCCCCATTACCATATCCTAACATATAGTACAAAGCTTTTTCTATAATTGCACTCTCAAAAATTTACAGATCTCAAAAAAAAAAAAAAAAAAGGCATCATGGATTCAATCTTTCATCAATCGTTCGTTCTGAAACTACTTATAATATTGAATCATGAAGTCCTCCCTTTCCAAGCGTCACAAATATTAACATCCATCACCAAGATGATGGAAAATGTATGTCAATAAATTGATTAGTGCTTAATCTAATTCTAATAATTATATAACATGAAAACCCAAAATTACACGTTCTCTACAAATTTAAAGTACAGCCAGCATTTGTATATGTTACTTTTCTCTTTCAACTCTTAAAAGAGGATAATGAAAAAAATGTGGGCTAATTCCTCCTCATCATATTTAGTTTCATAAAGATGGAGGAGTGGAAGACAAGCAAAAGCAACAGCAAACGTAAAAATGACAAAACAAGAAAAAAGAAATTGTTGTACATATATATATATATATATATCAATATCTATAGCCTCTACAAACCAATTACTAATTTATTGTCAACTTGAAACTTGACATCTAAGCATAATATAGGAATGTGTAGTAACGTTGAATCATTATCAAGTTGTGATTAAGTTTTTTTTTTTTTTGTTTAATCTTGCTTATCACATTAAATAAAAAAAAAATCCCTTACGAATGCCAAAAAAGGGTTTAGAATGATGATTTGGACATGATTTGAAAATGCTCACTTGTTAATCTCATTACACTAATGTCAAGCAGCATTATACATTAGACTGTCGAGACATTCATGCTGAATCCGCAAATGTTGCACATTTTAAGAAACTTCAACGAAATTCTTAACAAATTAAGATCTGAAAATGCTTTTTTGTACATTAAAAAGGAAAAAAAAATAAATAAATAAATAAAAGATCCTACCCAAGAGTTGTAATGTGGAAAATGTGTACATCAAACTATTCATGATCATGACCGGGAAGTAGAAACTTCAGCTCTTATCTGATGATCTAGTTGCTTTAAAACAGGCAAATCTAGATTCTTTTCTGTCACTCTAAATTTCTCTTCAGCTTTTTTCATCCTTGTTTGTACTCTGTCCTTCTATAGTTTCCTCTCTCTCGTCAGTTTTCTCCTCTATTTCTCAAAATGCTGCATAACATCAGATTTTATTCTTTTAAGTAGGAAAATAAATCCTTATATTCTAAAAATCACGATGAGAAAATCCATAAAGAGAACAAAAGAAAATACAAACATTAAAAAAATCACCTTTTTTGGTATCACAAAGGGCAGCTCAAATTCCTTCTGAACACTCTCAACTTCTCTTTACCTTTATATGACTTTGTTTGAACTTTCATCTTCATTTCCTCAAAATACTGAAAAAGGAAAAATAAAAATACATATACATATATATATATATATATATAATTACCTTCTGTGAGAATTTGAACTCAGGCTTTGATATACAAGGAGGAAAATCTTCAAATTAGAATTACCTGTTGCTTTTGCTTCCTTTCAAGCTCTGCCTGTTTGAACTCAAAAACCAGACAAAGAGGTTCTAATTAGTAATAGCAATTACAAGCACTATTAACATGTACAAAAAAAAAAAAAAAAAAAAAGGTACTCAGAAGATTATGAAGATATATTACCAGAGCCTGTTTAAGATGTGTATTCTCCTCTCTCAGTTGGTTAAGCTCTGCTTCTAGTTCAACTGTATATGCCTGCAAATTTTGTGAAAGTAATTGCTATTACTAATTATAAATGGTTTAAAGATTTGCTCCAAGGAAATTCAAGTACATAAATACCTTTATTTTTCCTAGTAAGACGATCAAATTTTCAAGGAATCTCCATTACATATATATGTTTAATTAGCCATTAAATAATTCGTCGCTTAAAGAGGATATTAATTTATAGGGCAAAACTAAGTCCGCAAAACGACAAGGATTTGTCAATGAATGTAGTGATCAACTATTCAGTTCTTTACCAAAATTTTGATTTCCCTTCAAACTTTGTTGAAAAACATAACAATGTGTAATCTTCAAGCATAATATATAGATGTATTTTAAGCATAGGGACCGAAAATCATGTTGCTTAATTTCACCAAAAACAAACATTATGTAACGGCAATACTTAATTAGTTAGGTGGAAAATTTTTTTTTTTTTTTGATTACCTGTTTTCTGGCTCTAGACCTGGCTGCGGACTCTCTGTTCTTGATCATCCTCCTCTGCCGCCTCTCCACCACCTTCTCCACCGGCCCATCGATTATCCGCTTCCGACCCCTCAGCGCCCTGATATCCAACCCAAACTGACTCCCGGCGTCGTCCACCTGACTCGCACATATCCCGTCCGACGACACCGGACTAACCGGCGCAGCCAGCCCCAACGACTGCACCCCGCCGTACCCGCCGCCACCATTCACCGCCCTCCCGCTGTAACACACCGCCGCAGCAGCCGTGGTAGGAGGCGGCGGCGGGTACGCCCCCTTCCTCGCCCCGTTCCCCGCATAATCTCCTCCGAATGCCGCGCTGGCTTGCGGCATTGCTTGATAAGCGGATGCAGCACCGCCGCCGCCAGCCGCAGCTCCGGGAGCCATTGCCGCGGGCCTGCCAACAAAACCCGGGACCAAGCCAGCCGCATTGCTCGGGTACATTCCGAACTGCTGCGGCTGGGACGGATGCGGAGGCGCCGCCACCGGAGCCTGTTCCTGAACTACCCCCGCCTTGATAAGGAAATCCTCCAGGGTCATCTCTCCAAAAGTGGGCTGGCGAGGGGTAGAATCGGAATTCCGGGCATTACTATCATTTCCGCTACGCTGATTTTGCTCTTGTTTCCCTTTGCGGTGTATCTCCGACCAAACCTCGTCGACCGTTTTCCGACACAGCGGCGCGGGGAGCGTGAGCGAGCCCTGGCGCGTGAGGCTCGCCTGCCGGGCTATGACGCCGCCTTTTTCGGCTGCGGCAGTAACTTCTCTCAAGGACAAGTTATTATGATCGCCCGTGTTGCCGTCGAGGTAGTTATTACCGTTATTGCTGTTGTGTTGGTTGTTGTTGTTGTTGTTGTTGTTATTCTGTGAATTGGAATTGATGGCTTGGTTTTCCTCGGCGGTCCAAATGCTGGTGAGGAACTCGTCCATGTTCATTGAACCGAAGTTCTTGCCGCTCTCGCAGAGAGCGTGCTGGAACTCATCGAGAGTGAGAGAGTATATCGACGACTGCCGTCCGAGGGACGAGAACGGGTGGTTGTTCTTCTGTTGTTGGTCGATTTCCGGCTCCGGAACCACCATTTTTTCTTCTTCTGGCTTGGCACAACTAATCTGAGTTTCTTAAGCAAATAACACGCATAAGAAAAAAGCTAGAAAGTGAGTCTATATATAAACCTTAAAAAAATGAAAAGGTGCTAAATATCTTTTTAAGACTTGAATCACGTGATCTCTAATAAATACTAACTGATGAAAATAGTAATGTGATTTTGTCTTAAGGATCAGATTTTGAGATATGTAGAGTTAGTACTCTTACCTATAAGAGGAATTAGAAGGGCATTGAATTGTGATATGGTGGATTCAGTGGTTCTTAATTTAACAATGTGGCTAGAGAATAGAAAATCTCAAGGACATTGTTAATTAAGCCAAAATAGATATCAGACCTCGTTCATTTCGTCAATTCGAGTTTAAAATTCGAGTTTTGCTACAGTAAAAAATTCTCAGAAACAATCACATCTATTTTTTTTTTTTTTTGCTACAGTAAAAAGCTCTCACATCTCAACTCGAATTAAAAACTCGAATCAGCGAACTAAACGGACCCAAATAATGTAAATCCATTTTACAAAAAATCGTTGTTTAAGTGATCGCACGTGTAGTCTGAATGATAACAACATCAATTAAGGTCGAATCCATTGAAAAAAAAAAAAAAAAAAAAAAAAAAAAAACCCCCCGTCAAATAGGCCTTCTTTAGAGATATAAGATTTGGCTTTTATGTCGATGCAGAATAGAAAGACGGTTTCTATTGAACAATCAAAATCTGTATACGAAAAGTCACTGAATTAGTGGTTGCACGTGTAGTCTGAAGTTAACCACATCAATTAAGGTCGAATCTCCTATTCTACCTTATAATTTTCTAAATTTGATTGGTTTCCTATAATGTCAGGATATAAGTGACACATACAAGGTCTAGAATATAAAATGTTTTATTTTTCTTTGAAAGTTTAAAAAGGTGAATAATTTGACCTCATGAAGTTCTTGTTTTGGGATTTGTAGGATAGAAATCACTGCTAGGTTAAGTTTCTAATCAAGAGTCAGGGTGTGCCAACACTCGGATCATTGATATAATAACAAAATCAAATTTCTAGTAATTTGATCTTAATTATTTGGTTACATTCAGACTACACATGCGACCACTTATACAACGACTTTATTGGGACCAAATCAAATTTCTAAAATCAAGGGTTGAACAGGAAATTCAAGCCGGGCCCGTTCAGTTCGCTGATTCGAGTTTTTAATTCGAGTTGAGATGTGACTTTATGTGAGAACTTTTTACTGTAGTAAAAAAGTTAGATGTGACTGATTCTGAGAGCTTTTTATTATAACAAAACTCGAATCGGTGAAATGAACGGGACCTAGTTGTTGTTGTTACCTTACTACACATGTAACCACTTATACAGTGGTTTTTTGTTACACAGATTTCCCCCTCCCCCCAAAAAAGGGTTTGAAAAATCACTTCCCATCACGATTAAATAAGAATAATAATATTCGGAGCAGGCAACAGATACTTTATTAATTAGTTCTTACGGAACCAATTCCAGCTACAAAGTGACACCTATATACACAATAGCACTGACTATTACTTGGTTTATAATTTTATAGATGAAGGCTTTTTCGATTTAGATTTTCAATTTTATTCATTTTACTAATTTTTTTTTGTTATAATTAAAAATTCTTAAAAAATTTTATATCTCAATTTAAATTAAAAATTTAAATTCATGAATCGAACGGAGGCGAAGACTTTTAATTTTACTTGCATTATCCTCCAACACGCGAAAAAAACGCACATTTAATCCATTATCTGACAGACTTCTTCATTGTGGGAAACAGATAAGTACTTTATCTCATAAAAGATGGACAAAGTACTACATAATGACCACAGATTTTCGAAACCAGAAACTGGGGTTTTTTTTTTTTTTTTTGATGAAAAATGGATTTTGTTTGATTTATCTATCCTAGTTTACATGTGATTTCAGACCCAGTGGATGTATGGGGGGCCATACTCACACAACGCACAATTGAACGCGACAGGAATACTATGCTAGTTGTATTTCATTCTAAGCCAATAAAAATACGACACATAAAAATGGATATAATTAGTTATTTGGAAAGAAAAAATATATAATTAGTGAAATTCACCTTCTTATTAAGAGATGGGTCAATTGGTAATTACAAATTAGGGAGGAATAATGAAAAGAAAAGCGTAAAATATCTACCAGAGAAATTCGTTTCCAAATCATGAATAGATTGTGGGGTGTGGGGGGTTAAATATGGCAGGAGAGAATCTTTCCTTTTTTAGTATAGTATTCACCAAACTCAAATTTTCTATTATTAAAAAAAAAAAAAGAAACGAATAGAAAACATACAACATGACTTTAAAGTAAAAAACATATTCCCTTACTCATATGCACATGCACTTTTTAAACTCAAGTTGCATGGGAAACTTTAATTCTTAAACCCTGTAATTACTGTGGCCTTTATCTAACAATAATTCTCAATCTGGATCATAAAATCTACATAATTGAAATTAAAAAAAAAAAAAAAGGTTTTTTATTCTATGAACTCATGAAATCAAGATAATTTGTTCAATATGAGAAAACTATTGTACCAGATTATAGTAGAAGGAAAGATAACAATATTATTGAATGAAACAAAAATCGTATATATATGTATATATGTATATATGTATATGTATATGTATACCTGATATATATACGTTCCAAGAAGCTGAGACAGATCTACAATAGAGGAACTAGTACACTTGAAGACAGTCCCTTGTTTATTTATGTCTTGGATAGATCAACATGCAAAGAGAGCAAAGAAGCCAGCTAGCTTAATCAACCATTTATATATGAGAATTTCTTTGGTTAATAACCAACTTGTATATATATATATATATACACATGTTTATATATATATATACATGGTGTTCTAAGGTGGAGAAGAGCAAACTATTTCTCTCAAAAATGATATGAGGACACACAAAGTGGCGTGCAAACAAGTCAATCCCCCCATAGCCTAGATTTCACATTTCCCCAAAAGAACTTTAAGCCCTAAGTCCCTGCTTATTCGTAACATGCTTGGTTCTCGCGACACGTGTACGCCAGGTGGCTTCCTCAGGCTCTTCTGTGCTCTTGCCCTAACGCGTGTCCTTCTCCATGGAAATAAATCTTGGGTGTACTTAACTAGTCTTGTATTGTTTGTCGTCCTCTACTTCAAATGCCATCATGAGTTGTCATCAAGACTTTATAAGGCATTTTGTTCGGTAAATGTGTTTAAATTTAAATTATAATTCTGTTATAGCGTATTTTTTCTTATAAAAAATTTAAATTAAAACTCAAAATATGATTTAAAATACTTTAAACGGGCTCAGGAAAAATGGTTCAAAATGTTTTAAATTAGCCTTCTGACTATTACGGTATTATAAGCAATCACCAAGGAGCATAAAGTTAATATATTAGTGGATATGAAATAATTGATTAACATATTACTCATATCATATATGATTTGACAAGGAGTTAGTTAATGACGTTGGTTAACATAGTAGTAAGATTGCTTGGATAAAAGTGTAAGAGTAGTACTAATTAGTGGATCCAGGTTAATGTTTACATTTTTTTTTAATGTTACTTTGTTAGACTATAACTTAGGATTAAATGGTGCATTGTATTGTGGACTTGTGAGTGATGATGCATGATTATATTTTACTAAAAAGTTTTTTTTTTTTTTTTAGTATTTTGTATAATCTCATAATTAGTTTATAAGGGTTATTGTGACAAAAGATCCAAAAAAGGTCATGGTTCAATTTCACACAATCATTCTAACGTAATACAAAATATTAATCGAACATAAATCTTAAAATGAGGATAAAATATCAAACGACCTTGAACTTATCCCGCTAAACTTAGCTATTACATAAGTAGAAGTTCGCTTATGGTTGATCAATTGCAGTTCATAATCATATTATGTGTTCAACTAATTAATATCAGCTTCTCCAATTGGTCTTATTTATCACATTCTAGATGATCAAGTATCAAAGAGTCCAGAGATTAATCTCCAACAAATGGTGTGAGTATTACATGCAAGAGTTTCTTAGGCCTCGTTCACTTCGCGGATTCGAGTTTTCAATTCGAGTTGAGATGTGACATTTTCTGAGAACTTTTCACTGTAGCAGAAAAAGTTAGATGTGATATTTTCTGAGAATTTTTTTACTGTAGAAACCTAAAACTAAAAATTCGAATCGGTGAAATGAACGAGTCCTTAATAGTTAGGGCATCTCAAGCACGTGCTCTTTAGACTTTAGGAGTAAAGCAATTTTGATGGACGATTTTACCCTCCGGGCTTCTGGAGAAGTTTGGCTGATTCCTTGAGTTCAGTAAACGTGACTAACGTCGTTGGTGGTTCGCTAGGTGGCCGCTGTCTTTTGGTGGGCTGCGATTGTCTGCAAGCAGCCCTACTTTTCTGGATTTGTTTGCGAATCACAATAGCTCTCATTAATGACCCTTGGGCTGTTCCTTTAAATGACGCTTCAAATAAGTGAGAAAAAATTGGATAGGGAAACTGAGCATGTTTTAAGATATGCTGGTTTAAATAATATTTTTACTCCTGGTAAATAAATTATTTACTGGAGTAAATAACTTTTTTAACCATGAATATGCTGTTTACTTCATATATTTTGAAACCTATTATTTACTTCAAAAGATTTTTGTTTTTTTTTTTAAAAAATAATTTTATTTGGGGAAAATGATTTGGCCCAACAGATTACTGTTGGTAAGTGGACCGAATGGCACTCCAACAACTTACTCCAAGCAATTTCAGAAAAGGGAAATAGTAGAAAATAAGCCAATATGAAAAGCTTAAGAAAGTATATAGGCTAATTTTTAGTTATAAAAATTAATAAGCCATAACTTATCAAGTTATGGTGCATAACCAGATAAGTTATGGACAAACTTGTCAAATTATGGTCCATAGCCAGACAAGTTATAGACAATTATGGACAATAACTTGTCAAGTTATAGTTCATAACCAGACAAGTTATGAACGAAAACAATAATTTGGCCTATTTATTAATTTAGGTAAACTATTGGCCTATTAATTTTAATTCATCTCAAGTTTTGGTCTATTTTTCTCTTTCTCCCTTCGGAAAATTATGTTGCATGCCAGATGCCACTTATAGCAAGTGGTTATAGGCTTTTACCCTTTCCCACCTTTGATAAATACTTCCTTCAAGAGTCATAAAGTTCATATCACCATTGGTCCAACTAAAAAATAAAATAAAGAATTGATCCGTTTTTAATAAACCAGTGGTTTGAACGAGGAAAAGTAAAAAAAAAAAAAATAAAAAAAAAAATCTAACACAGACACATTAAAAAAAGTAAACCATTGGTCTACTTTTTAGTAAACCAGTAGTTTAAAGAAGGGGAAAAAATCTCCATACAAGCAAGAAAAATCAAAGAATTACACTATATTAATGGTCTACTGGTGAGTAAATTAGTGGCTTAAAGCAGCAAGAAAGAAATGTCTCGACACAAACAGTAGCTAGGATGGGGAAAAAAATTTCAACACAAGTAACATAAATCAAAAGTATATTACTGGTCTACTTGTGAGTAAAATATTAGTGGCTTAAAGCATCAAGAAAGAAATTTCTCGACATAAGTCAGATGTCTAAAAGTAAATCAAAGTGAAACAAGTGCAAATGTTTAATCACATTTTTAAAAAATAACTGACTATTTTGTTCAACTATATAGCAGAAATTTACTTTATTGACCCGGGATACTTTTGGCTTTGGGAGTGTTATTACTCTGAAAAGTATATCCAATGCTCCAAACCCTGATCTGATCAGACGTATATTTTCTTATAAAAATAAAGTTTTGAACTCCATGTTTTTTTTTTTTTTTTTTTTTTTTTTTTTTTTTTTTTTTTTGTTCGAGCTTCAAGTTCCATGTTAAAGTCTTTGATATGAGAAAATTAGGACCTTTTCAGCTACCAATAAAAGTAAGGTGTATTAACTGTATTGATCAATCAAAGAATGCCGTCTTTTCTAATATTTTCTTAATATGAAGCTTTTTCATTAGGAGTAGGATTACTAGGTGATCTACATTCTACATACGGTAAAAATTCATATTTTCCTCTTCAATCGGCATTGAAAAGATGCTTTTTCATAGTTCGCTGATTCGAGTTTTTAATTCGAGTTGAGATGTGATTTTATGTGAGAACTTTTTACTGTAGCAAAAAAGTTAGATGTGATTGTTTGTGAGAGTTTTTTACTGTAATAAAACTCGAATTCTAAACTCGAATCAGCAAAATGAACGAAAAAGTGAGTAGGTGGGACTCAATCTAATAGGAGTTACCTTTTTATAAGTGATGAGGATGAATACCATTTTTCATTTTCAAACATATGTTTGTTCGCTTTTACGAGGAGGAGTGATTATTTTTCTTTTTTTCTGTTTTTAAATACAAGCGTGATTTTTTATTTCCAGCTTCTAGTGCTAAATTCAAGGTTGTCTTGGCCTGAAAGACATATTCATTACCAATTACATGCTCATAGAACGATTATTATTACCTAATAGTACTCTAATGTACGTACACAATAAAATACTACTTAAATTGTCCAATATAACGCTGCTCTAATAATTATGTACTTATTTGATATATTGTATATATTCAATTTTTCACCATACAAATTGTTGCTTGTAATTCAATAAGTTCAATAACAATTAACTACTCAAGATGTTATTATGTCCAAAGCTTGAAACGCTAAGTGGATGTTTAGCTCATATATTTAAAATTATTTTTAATTTACGTGTATTTTTTATAAAAAAAATATTATAATAAATTATGAATTATGATTCAAATAATAATATAAATACACCAACCAAACACGCTCGAAGAGTTTAAAAAGCTACGTATAAAAGTTGGATAATCAACAAATATCAGCTAATTGCAGAATATATATATATATATATCAACTAATTAATGTGCAAGTTCCAAAATATAGTTTGTTTGTGTATTGACAATCATATGCATAACGAAAAGCTGTATTTATATATTTACTTTTTCACTTTACACATCATTGATCATAGACCAACCATGAACTGTCAAATCACGCGTGGGCTGAAGTAATAATTGTTCATTAATATTCCTCTTCCCTTCACTCTCAAGCAATTGGTATTCTATTAAAAAAAGAAAAAAAAAAAAAACCCAACAACAACAATGGGTGGCAACGAAATTACCATGTTATTTACAGCTTAGTTTTCTCCAAAAAATAACCCGAATTAAAGCACATATTTTTTTGTTCCTTCAATATAATTATAGTAATCATGTTTGTTCTATATACGTGTCTTTTTTACACGGGCTCAACATTACTTTGCTATATATTCTCACTATAATTATCAATAACTCAGCCGTTTGTATTGGCACGTAGAATTATTATTAGTAGGTCCAACATGGATAATTAATCTCATGGCACACGCATAATACATGGCTTAAATTCTGGAATTAAGAATGTATGTTAGTGTTATATGTAATCATTACAAGGGCAAAATTGATTTTTCACCAACATCTTATGGTTCTATAAAACCCCTCATAAACCCATATCTATGATCCAAATCAAAAGTAGTAGTAGTGAACCCTAATAAAAAAACAAAAAAAATGAATCCAAATTTCCTCACAATTTGGTTTCTAATTTGTCTCTCCCTCCAATGTGTCACAACATTGGCCTCAGACCCTGACCCTGTTCAAGACTATTGCATACCAAACCCAAAATTTGGTTCCATAAAAACAATATCTCACCTCCTCACCCTCCCATGCAAAAATTCATCCGAGGCCACCACCGACGACTTCATCTTCTCCGGCATGAAGCTGATCGGGAACTTCTCCGACACGGGCCTTGCATTGATCCCCGTGAACCCGACAGTCTTCCCGGGCCTTAACACGCTAGGCATGTCGTTTGTGAGAGCGGACTTGAAAGTTGGTGGGATAAATCCACCACATTTTCACCCTAGAGCCACGGAAATCGCCTACGTGGTTCAAGGGAGTGTTTATTCGGGTTTCGTCGATTCGACCAATAGGGTTTTCGCTAGGATCATAGAGCAAGGAGAGGCCATGGTGTACCCCAGAGGTCTAGTTCACTTCCAAATGAACGTTGGAAAAAAACCTGCCACAATTTTTGGTAGTTTCAACAGCCAGAGTCCCGGTTTGCAGAAAATCCCATCCGCAGTTTTCGGTTCCGGAATCAAGGAGGAGCTTTTGGAGAAGGCTTTTGGATTGAGTCCTAAGCAGATTGGGAAGATGAGAAGAAGGTTTGATCCTGAAAGGTCCAACTAGATCAATGTTACATTTTGTTGGGTTTATTAGTTAATCCCTACACATCTTGGGGCATTTTAGTTTTTTTCCTTGCGAAGAAATAAATATCAGTATTGAGCAATGGTGTGTACCGTCAAGTACCACTTGATGTTTTTCTTTTTCTTTTTTCTCTCTCTTTTTTTTTTTTTTTTTTTTTTTTTTCCCTTTTTTTTTTTTTTTTTTTTTTTTTTGCCCCTTTTGATTATACTATCTAGTGTGATAGTCTTGATCGTCATAAGGCCATTAAACTTTCTACTTATATAAATATTTTCTTTGATTTATATTTATATCCCGTCAGCCCTTTGGAACACTTCATAGACCTTGCCTGAAACTTAAGGTTATAATGTTTAAAAGAGATACGAATTTCAACTTTCAGACAACTTTTGCTGCGTGCGGTTGCATAAAGCCACAAATAAATAGTGATGTACAGAAAGAATCAGCTGTCATTTTGCTGCCTAACTTGGGTAAACTAGTGGTAAAAGAACTACCATAATATAAGGACAAAAAGGTTAAAGATCCAAAAAATTTCCCAAGTTAAAAGTGCCATAATCCTGTAATGCATTCTTTTAAACCGTCAAATCTTTATCATGTTCTGTCAATTTTTTCTTTTTTAATTATTAATTTAATGTGATTTCAATCGGATCTAGTTTAGAAGAATGAAATACCATCATCATCTTACGGTATCAATACTTTTCTTATTTGGGTGAATTCCTAAGCCTTTTTTTTTTCTTTTTTTTCTTTTTTGCTTCATTTTTCATACGCGTTCTGCATTTATGAAAATAATTTTTTGAAAAAACAAAAAAGCAACAGTTTAGAAACGAAAACTCCCCAATTCAGGTCATTATCCTGACAAGTAAATATATGAGTTTACAAGAACTAGTCTAGACACAAATCAGCTTTGTCTATTACAAACACAAAATAGCTGCTACATTATCATTCCAAAAAATAGAATTTTCTACTGTAAAATTTACCATAAAAACATAGAGCATCAGAAGTTCCAAATCCCACGGTTTACGCACGAGAGAATGAGAATGCATAGAGAAGTTGACGAGTGTGTCCCAACTGCTCAAGTGAAGCTCAATTCTTCCCAACAAGAAGTTCCTTGAAGATTGTATCAGCCATCCCCTCAGCCTCTGGGAATAAGTGCCCAGCACCGGGTAGCTCGTGATAGTGAATCCACGGAAGTTGCTGGGCAATGTGGCGTTGCAGAGAAACAGGCACGAGAACGTCTTCATCTCCTTGCCACAAGTGGACAGAACCTTCGTTATTCGGAAAGGGATTTTCCAGTTCTACAGGACTGAATTCCCACTTCCCGAATCCCACATTCATATCCTGGAAGAGGGACTCGTATTTTCCTTGCTGTGTTACCTGTGCCTGAGAAGCCACATTGAGAGTTATTATCTATATTCTATAAGCAGGAAACAAAATGACTACTAATTGAAGCAAACACGGGAAGCTCTGCTATATCACAATAAGTCCTTAAACCTTGAGTTTGAGAGTTTACAAAATCACTCGTAGCTAAGTCATATGGAGTAATATGTAATATCTTGTCAATCACCGATGAAAATAGAAATGCTATTATGTCAAGAGAATTCTGTTTTAAGTTCAGGAGAGGACGTAAAACTAATAGTAAACTATAAAAACATCTAGTCGTATAGCAATGCGGCTCAAACAAAAGGCTGTTACCAATCACCCCCATATAAATTACCCCTGACAGGCTTCAAACCTCACTGTAAATGCAGTGCAGGCTAGATCCTTTATGCATCTGCATCAGAGATTTCTTTGAATGGAGGAGAGGACTAATTTGAGTCAATTTAATAAATAAGGGACTTATTTTGGAAATCTTAAAAATCAGGCATTAAAATGAGATTCAGCCTATAGTTCGAGGACCGAAAATGAGCTTAATCCTAATATTTAATTTAAAAGATGCTAGCGACTATGTCTATTTGCCACAGAAAAAATAAGGAATGGAGTTCTTTCATCAAAGAAAAAAAGAAGGTTTTGTAGTTACCAAATATTCCTCTCTCGATTGCCTTCTTGGTGATTTAATGATCTCTTTGTCTTGGCGAGAAAGAACGTCATGGCTCTGAGCCACAACACTTGAATAGGGAAACCATTTTTGAGTATTCCACCAGTATGTAAGCCCAGGAGCATGGTGAGCGACACGAAGGAACCACTGGTCATTCCAAAATTGTTGGTTGTAGGCTTCATTAGATAGATTTGAAGGAAAACCAGTCCACCAGTAGTTTACAACAGGAGCTAGCAGCACAGCGCCTGCTAACCTATTAGCATTACATATATTCCTCAGAACATCAGAAGAAAAACAAAAAAGAAATACTCTCTGACCATCTCTAATTCAAATTCCAATGCCATATTTGGCACTTAAAAGTGTGAAGATGGCAGATTTGATACATTATTCTATTTTGTATTCCAATGCATAATGTTGTTTCAAATGTTATATCTACTTGTGGCATCAAGTACAACATATGCCAATTTTAGCACCAAATATAATAGTGAATTGGAGACCATTTTTCCTACTCAAGTGCTAAAATTTGGCATTGGCTCACTAATTTGGTACCGTATAAAAGATGCTTTCAGATGCAACACCAAAGCAGCAGAATTCATACATTTTCATTATCAACACAAATCAGGTAAATCATACCTGTGAGGGATGTATTTGAGGGTGCTCCAGAGCACCTGTCCACCCATGGAGAAACCAACTATATAGAATTTGGGTCCTAATCCCAATTGATCAGCAAGCTCTTCTATATCTAAAGCCAAGCTCTTCACTGTCCGCGTGGGATCAGGGTCACTCTCTCCATAACCAGGTCTGTCAAAAGACAAAATGTATATGCCTAGTTCTTCCACAACCTCCTGGAAAATCAAAGTGATTTAGTCTTTAGAGAGGATTAGACAAAATATCATTGGTGCAAAGTAAATGAAGAGACGGGGCCAGTACCGGAGATAGGAATTTAGCGATGGTGTCATGCCTGCAAGAACCAAAACCATGGACATTGACAATCTTATACTTGGCGCTATCTTTTGACACACCCTGCTCTTTGTAGGCCAAATGCCTTCCATCCCTGAGTTTAATTCTCGATGCCGTAACAGGTGGGCCATCCGGAGTGCCACATATCTTGGGTGGAGGAGGTTGGATTGCTTGATATGCCCATGCCAAAAACCCAACAAAGAACAAAACTAGTGCTTTCTTGAATATTCCTGAAATTTTTCAGCTTTAATCAAACAAAACACACAAAAAATGGGAACCAAATTTATCAAATTCACGTACTAGGCAAAGATTTCAGCCAAAAAAAAAAAAAGAAGGAACTAAGCGAAGATATTTTCAGAACACGCCAATTATATAAATCATAGTTACCAAAAATGAAACTATGTAGTTAAAAACTCTCACACAAAGAAGATCTTTATTCTTGCCTCAAATCCATTTCTCTCTTATTTAAACCTGGATTTCAGCTCCTCAAAAAATTCTTTAAATTATGCAACAATCAAGAAAACTCAAAATTTTGACCGCTCTAAATTATCTAGTCAGATTATTTGCCTTAACCGAAAACGAACTTTACCCAATTAAAGCAAAGAGAGAAACATCAAATTCTTCAACAATTGCACCTTTTTTTTTTGGCGTCAACAAAACAGTTTAATCACAAAAACTAAGCCATACCCAAGTTTTCAGGCAAAAAAAACCCTGGTTCTGATGTACGATGAAATTGAACAATAAACAATAAAGTTTAAATCAAATTCATGAAAATGGAAAAACAAAATTAAATACAAAACGAAAACCCACCTGAAGGAAGCTGAAAGGAACTGTTTTGCTTCGCTCTTCTGGTGTGGGCCCTGGCTGATGCTGCAGAAATCTTCCTGTTCACACCACCCGCCATTTGAAAGAAGAAATCTCCCTCGAAAACACAAGATTTGAAAGAAAAAAGAGTTTAGAAAAAGAAAGGAAGAAAATAAAATAGAAGGAACAGGAAGGAGAGATCAGATCGTAGAGTACTTTATTACAGGGACGAAGGAGACATCCTCGGTCCTCCCTCACAAGCAGACTTTTTTTTTTTTTTTTTTTTTTTTTTTGGGTGTATAAAGTAGAGGTGGACGATAGCATCAGACAAATAATTTAGTTTTTTTTTTATAGTTTTGATTTTGGAGTTATTTATTTGTGAATAATGTTAGAGACATAGATTTGAATCTCATAATATATAAATTGTCATTTTTATATTAGTACGTGTTTAAAATAATATCATATTAATTAATAATAAAATATTATATTTATTAATAAAAATATGATAACTCACATACTACATTAATTAGTATATAAGAGTTAAGATTTAAATTAGTGTCCTTAGCACGACTCTTTTACTTATAGATATCCAGGATTGAAAATAATAAAAATAAATTTTATAAATTGTTTTGCATTATGTCCCTTGTGTTAATAATTAACGTGTCTTTTAAATTTTAAAATGTACTTATTAAGTTTTTTTATTTAAATTTGTCCCTCCATTTTAAAACGTTGTATTTTTTGAGACAGAATTGTAAATTTGTCACTTGGTTTAGGCGCAATATTTAAGGGTTAATGAATGCCTTTTACCCTAAATAAATAACTTAGGTGCTAAATCTTATATATATATTCTCCTTAAAGTAGCTGCTTAAAAGCACGAAAATAAGAGGGAAAAAAAATGAAGAATATACCTAAATTGAATTAGGTTAGTTAATGGGCTTAAAAAAATTAATAAATTTGACCACAACCTCCTGAAAAATCAAAGTGATTTAGAGCCCGTTTAGTTGGAGGATTCGTTCTTTGATTCGAATCATAGTTCATGGTTTGCTACAGTATTTTCTCTCACAAAAAATACACAATGGTTCTAATTTATGAACCAAATGGGTTCTTTGTCTTTAGAGAGGATTAGAGCAAACATCATTGGTGCAAAGCAAATGAAGAGACGGGACAAGTAGTGCACCGAAGATATGAGTTTAGCATTGGTGTCATGCCTACAAGAACCAATACCATGGACATAGACTATCTTATACTTGGCGCTATCTGCTCTTTGTGGGCCAAATGCCTTCCATCCCTAGGGTATGTTTGGTAGGAGTGAGAGATGGACGAAGGGAGAGGGATGGAGCGAGAGGAGAGTCCTAATCTCTTCTTTGGTTAGAGGGAGAGAGGGAGTTGTTGCGTGCCGCGTGGGAAAGAAAGAAAGAGAGAGGAACATAGGGTGTTGCGTGAGAAAGAGAAAAGAGAGAGTTGTACCCTTTTTTAAAGTGAATTTACTTGGAAAATTGTACACTTTTTTAAATATATATGTGTATATATATGTTTGTCTTTGGCAGACTGATATGGCACTTCATGAAGCGATGTGATACATTAAGGCCTAGTTTGTTTCGCAAATTCAAGTTTTCAATTCGAGTTGAGATGCGATATTTTTTAAGAGCTTTTAATTGTAGCAGAAAAAGTTAGATGTAACATTTTCTTAGAACTTTTAACTGTAGAAATCTAGAACTGAAAACTCAAATCAGTGAAATAAACGAGGTTTAAGTTCCTGCAATAGCAGGTTCAAGTTCTATTCTCTCCTTGCCTACAGCAAAACTTGGCTTCTTTACCTGTAAGTCTCATTAATGTACTGTCATTTTTTGTCCAATTCCTTTCTCATTTTTGGCTTTTGGATGTTCTGCGCACGTTCGCAAGGACGTGCTTCCATCTTAGTTTTTGCCTATAAATAGCCGTGGAAACTTCACATTTAAGCATGCTCATTCAACTAACTTCTTAAATTTTACATATTTTATATTTTTTTTAGTTTACAGCTCTTCCAAAAGGGAAAAAAAACTTGAAGGTATAATTTATTTCATTTTGTATTCATTAATTTTACATTGTTATAAGTTAATTTTATTGTGTAATTATTTTATTTAATTTTTATTGATAATGTTATGTTAATTTATTGTTATTTTTTATTGAAGCAATGGCATCATCACATGGAAGGAGCACCATTGTTTTAAATTTGGTGATCAATAAAGAAGAATAATAATGATCCACCTGAAGAAATTGGAGCTGACTCACTATCTCAAGTTGGTGGTTCCTCTGATGTGACTTGTAAAGGCAAAAGAAAAGTGCAACAAACTTTACCAGTTTATAATTATTTTGATTTAGTAATGCGTAAAAATGATAATGGTGTAATAGAAGAACGTGCAATTTACAAAGTGTGCAAACAAAACTACACTGATAAATCCTCTTCTGGTACTGGTCACTTAGAGAGGCATCACAAAAAGTGCGAAGCTAAGCATGGTGTAGGTGGTGTTGATTGTCGTCAACAAACATTTCAATTTAGCTCTAATGGTAGTATTATCAATTGGTCATATGACCAACAAAGAACTAGAGAATGACACGCTAGATATTTGGCTAGTGCTCAACAACTAATTAGTCTTGCTGATGATCCGGCCGTTGAAGAGTACATTTAAAATGTTTATAATCCACAATATAAGCGTGTTTCAAGAACTACTACAAGAGCTGACATTATGAAAGTTTTTCATTCAATGAGGAAAAATTTAGTTCATTCACTGCATCTGTTGCATGCACATATGATTTGTGGGAAGGTTGCACCAAAACTAGTTATATATGTGTAACTGCACATTATGTGGATAAAGATTGGTCTTTTCAAAAAAAGTTAATTACTTTTCAATCAATGTCTTATATACATGATGCCAAGGCCATTCATGATGTTATCATGGAAGTTTTTTATTTTTATGGCATTAAAGAAAAGGTTTTGAGCATCACATTTGACAATGCACCTGCTAATACTGCTGCGATTAACCTTTTCAAGATAACTTTGAAAGCACAACATGGCGGAACACTTTTTCACCAAAGATGTGCTTGTCATATTATTAACTTGTGTGTTCAAGATGACATGAAAATTTTCAAGGTTATTTGGAAAATATTCGAATGGCCTTGGGTCACATAGCAAGTTTTGGGTCTCGAATTGAAGAATTTGCTAAACTTTGTAAGTGAGCAAGCATGAAACCCAGAAAACTTCCTACTGACGTGGGACACCGGTGAAATTCAACATATTTGATGTTGAACGCATGCCTACCATACAAAGAGGTCATAACCGCGTATTACAACTTGAAGAATCCAACTGAGCCGCTTCAAGAATTTGATTGGCAAATTGCTTCATGCTTATACAATTTCTTGAAAGTTTTTTATGAAGCCACTCTCCAACTCTCAGGTGTGTACTATCCCACCTCTCCTCATGCATTACATAAATTTTATGGCATTACTGCAACCTTCGATATGTTTAGAGATTTTGACATGTTTTGAGAATCTATTGAGTTCATGGAACAAATATTCAAAAAATATTGGGAGCATGTTCCACCTTTGTATTGCATAGCTGATGTATTAGATCTAAGAGTTAAATTAATAGGTGTTGAATATTTACTTAAGGGTACAGAGAAAAACTGAAGGTGCATTCTGATATCATAACCATTCAAAATGTGCAAGTAAAAGTTAACAATTTATTTACTGCATATAATAAAAAATATGGAGGAGGTCAAATAATGTCCCCTACACCTTTAGCGAGTACTACATATGTATCACATGGTTCTTCATGAGAAAGTATGATTAGCTACACCAGATTTAGTTTCGGTGCGTCATCCACATATTCAGCACATAGTGAATTAGAAAACTATCTAGAAATAAATTTTGCGGCATTCATTTTCAATGAGCAAGGTGGTGGTCATGATTTCAATAAGTTTGATATTTTGTCATTTTGGAGATCACAATCAAGAACTTTTCTTGTGCTCTATAGAATGGCACGTGATATACTAACCATACTAGTGTCCACAGTTGCAAGTGAACATGTATTTAGTTGCAGTGGTAGAATACTTGATGAACGGTGTGCACGTACGAGTAACGATATTCTGGAGGTAGTAATGTGCATCAAAGATTGGGAGGACGCTCGCAGAAGAAGCTAACAAGTTCAAGATGATTGGGTTGATGACTTTGAAAATTTGGACATTTCTAATACTCTCACTGGGAGTAATACATTGTAATTATGAATAATATCAACTTTTTTATGTTTTTTCTTTTATTTAGTAATTTTGTAAGCATCTTATGTATAATTATTCTGATCGTACTATTTTTTTCTTACTAATGTTTTGTCTCACTGGGTTTTTCTCGGAATGCTTTTTAATGAGGCAATCGTAAATAAAATATCCCTTTTCATATTTCTATTCACTATTCAAACTTTTATATTTGTTAACTTGTTTAAAACTTCAAAAATGAAAAATAAAAATTAAAAAATTAAAAATTACATGTTTAGATGAGCTTATTTATCTAAACCCATGATGGGTCTTGAATGGGCCAGCCCATCTAAACTCATGATGGGCCAGCCCATTTAAGGCCCACAGAACGGCCAATCCTGGCCCAAGGCACGACTCAGCCTGGCCCACGTAAAGTTAGCCTGTGGTGTGGACTGGGTCGAGGTAATTCGTATATGGGTCGGCCTGGCCCGGCTCGGCCCACATAATTCGTGGGTTAGACCGGCCCGACCCACGGCCCACGTGGGCCTAAAGAGAATGAGCCAGGTTGGCCCGTTCTTGTATCTCTAGCTTGAACTTCGTATACGTTTGGTTGGTATATTCATGTCATGATTTGAATCATGGTTTGTGATTCGTTACGGTATTTTTTCTCACAAAAAATACACATAAATCGAGAAAAATTCTGAATTATGATTCTGAATCTATGAATCAAACGTCCACTTCATATCTTTGTTATATATCTAACTATGTATATGAATTTTCCGCTTCTAAAAAAAAAAATTTAAAATTATGCAACAATGAGCAAAATTCAAAATTTTGACCTCAATACATCATCTCCTCAGATTATTTGCTTGAACTGAAAACGAATATAACCCAATTAAAGCAAAGACACTTACAAAATGGTCAAAGTAATAGAACATCCTTTGAAAATAGAACATCAGATTCTTCAACAATTTAAACATTTTTCGCGTCAACGAAAAAGCTTAATTACGAAAATTAAGCCGCACCCAAGTTTTCAGAAAGTGTCCTGATTCTGATGTACGTGAAATTGAATATTATTAACAAAGTTAGATCAAATTCATAAAAATGAAG